ACGTGTACAGTTGTTAATATACTTGGGAAAGCCCAGAGGCTATTCACTGGGAAGGGGCCTAGAAACGTGGTAGGCAGAAGGGAGGGTGGCTGGTGCCGGGGGTTCTAACCTAAGCTGCATAACTGACTACCCATGCATTCATGTATGATTTTAGGGATTTGTTTTCATAAGATGTCTACTGCAAAGGAAAAAAAAAGGAAAACAAAATTAATTAAAAAATAAAGAACACTTCCCTTTGCGGCTTTAAGAAGGCTACTGGTGTGCACTTGATCAGGCGGGTCAAGTAAAGTGAGCTCAACCCCTGGGTTGGGCTGGGCTGGTAAAGAGCAAAGAACAAAGGCAGTATTCTGGAGGTAAGAGCCAGTCTGAACCTTTAAGGCAAAGGCAAGAGTCAGAGGCTAGAGATCTGGAAGGCAAGGCCCTGCGCCCACAGGAACCGGGGTGAAGAAAGCTCTGAAGAGCAACAGCAATGCTGTGGTTCAGGGAAACACCAAGGCATAGTCTTTAGTTGACGGCTCTTCAATCACAATCTGGGGCTTGGGGGAGTGGAGGAAGTAGAAGCAAGCTGGGAGGCAGGTTCTTCTATTAAAGTTTCTCAGGGGACAAAGGGCCATCTCTGATTTGGGAGTAAGTGAGCTACATGTGAAATATCTAACTCAGAGCCAGGAAAGGGTTCAGAAAATTGTGCAGTGTCTTCAGACGAAAGGTTTGAAGAGTTCTTAGCTATCTCGGGCTGACAGACCCAGTGCAGAAGGAATACAGCAATGATTTTTCAGTGTTATCACTAGATCACTGATATGCTCATAAAGTCAAGAAAGAGAGTGCTCAGAAAGGGAAAAATGCTGCAATACATATTGCAAACAGAGATTTAGAGAAATCACTCCTCGTATTATAACTACCATTTAACGAAGAACATTAAATCATTTATTTGGGATAATTTTTTCATGAATTTTTATTCATTCAGAAAATGTCTGCCACATGCAAAGCACACTGTGGTCAATAGGTGCCATGAATTAAAGTACAGCACCTATCTTCAAACGTTACTGTCTAGTACGAGAAATAAGGTGCTTACATTAGAAACTGTACGATGCCATCCCATCATCCACCTAAGAAAAATAACTGAAACAGGGTAAGCAATTTGCCATTAACTAAATGAGCTTCAGAGGAACATCTGTATCTGTTACTTTCCTCTGTCGGGTTCAATTCCTACATGCATGCCCCTCTTAGTGTGAGCATCTCATCCTTGTGAATGTGCTTCTAGAACACAAAAACAGGCAATTCTGGACATATAACACCTTAAATGAACCACCCACCAGTTCACCTACAACCCCCCTGAAGAGGAGAAATCTGACGCAAAGTTGAAGGAAAAAGTGGTTGTGACGGAATTACTGAGCCACTGTCTTTCAATCTACAACTTGGCACCTTTCTTAGAGACTGCCAAAGATTTTTTTTATTACGTAAAATTTATGCCATATATTATGGTCTTAGAACCTAATCCCTGATTTCCTTATAGAGAGACCTGTCCTCTTCTTTAAGGTCTGACAAAATCTCCCCTGCACAAAGTCTGACCTGCAGTGCCTTTCAAACTGTTTGATCATGACCAAAAAGATAATTTTTATATCAAAATCTAACACATACACACAGACACGCACACACGTGTATTATTTCATTAAATGACCCTTACTCTCATACTTTCTATTGTATTTTTTTATTCCATTCTATTCTATTCTGTTCTGTTCTATTCTATTCTATTCATGACCCAGTTAATTACTTCAAGACCCACAAAGTGGTCATGGCCCAGAATTTGGAAATCACTGGGTGAGGTGTTAGTAGAGGACACCCAATGGAATTATTTTAGGAGAGGTTATGACCAGACTTCCTCATCGGCTTCTAATGTTCATCCCTTGAAGGTTATATAAAGGTCAGGAAAACAGGTCTCTCATTTGAATAGACACAGCTCTTTCCCCCAGGAGCTTGTTTATGACTTAATCAGGACAAAACCTCTCTGTACTCATTCCCATCATCAAGCAAGTAGGGCCAGCTCCAGGATCCAAGATGGCTCAGTCCATCTAGATACCACACCCATCACAGGAGTAGGAAAGCACTATACACATCTCAGTTTGGCTTTGCTTTAAATCTGACAGGGAACAAAATGGAGGGTGAAGACTAATTAACTAATTTCTGTTTCCTGCGGTTCTGAAATGTCTGTCCAATTGTGACTTAAAGGATCACAGAATATAGGTGGATCCAGATGAACAATCTTTATTTAACTAGATCCTAAAAAATACAACTATGAATCAGGTTAACTCATTGCCAGAAAGGATTAGGGAAAAGAAAAACTAATTTTGACCTATTGAGCTTGTTTAACTGGCAAGATGACAAAACAAGTAATTAAGTTTAAGAAACAGAAATCACTCCTTCAAGATTTCACGCCCTACTGTCAACCACAATGAAAGTATTTCCTTTTCAAGCAAATTTAAATGTTAAAAGAATTGACCCCAAAATAAACCAAATAAGTATAATAGAAATACACAAGTTACATAATCAAAAACCCCAAAGAATAATTTATTTAAAATAACAACCTTTGGTCATGCTACATGATGAAGATGGGTCTGACTTTTAGTGGGTTTTTTTTTTCTGCTTTCCTTGCATATCCTTACTTTTTAGGTTTGGAACTGGCCACTAATGAATAACGAAGGAAGAAAAAGTTGATTTGCTTTTTTCACCATAACTCTTGGAAAATATTTTAAACATTTTCGCGTAACCATACCAAATACACGCTAGGATCATAACACAGTGAGAAGCACAACTGTCCACAGCAGAAGGATTGAATGTGCTTTCCACTTTGGAAATTACAGGCATCATTGTTTCTATCCTTCCCAAGGCATCATTATTAGTTTCATATGATTTATGATTAAAGGTATGAGAGATGGTGCAAAGATCCTGTGTCAAATTCCCATATGGCATATAACATAAGTCAAACTGTGAAAAACTCGTAAATGTGGGTAGATCAGTTTCATCAAAGAAAGGAGCAAGAGGGTTCCAGAGACTTAGCAGGAAACTAGCCAGATAATTTTTTATAGGCATGTAATTCCAGTGCAGCAGTAATGAATGTGATCCTGCCTCTGAACATATAATGCCTGAGTTAAACATAAGGGCGGTCAGCAAGAAATTAGGCAGAGATGATTTGGTACACCATCAATCAATCCTGTTTACTCTTTCGTAAATCTGCCTTTTCTTTTCTCTTTAGACTGAAGCTGAAACTGATATCGTAACTTCTTAAATGATTTAAAGAGATAAAATGATGTGTTTGTAAAGTCCCAATAAATGCTGAAATAATTATAATTCCAATGGAATATTGCAAATAAAAAGGTAACAAGTTAGTTGAAAATGCATTATTTATACGTTGTTTAATAGCATCCTACAATATACCAAAATCAATAAGCAAATATTTATCACATCACAAATTTAAACATACACTTCTAAGACAATGAATATCTTTGCACACATTTTCTGAATTCAATTCAAACATTATTTATTACCTACACAAAGTAGATTAGATAAAACTAACTTTCTTTCTTTTTTTTTTTTTTTTTTTTTTTTTGGGGTACGGGGGCCTCTCACTGTTGTGGCCTCTCCCGTTGCGGAGCACAGGCTCCGGACACGCAGGCTCAGCGGCCATGGCTCACGGGCCCAGCCGCTCCGCGGCATGTGGGATCTTCCTGGGCCGGGGCATGAACCTGTGTCCCTGCATCAGCAGGTGGACTCTCAACCACTGCACCACCAGGGAAGCCCAAAACTAACTTTCTGATACAAGAACTTGAGTAAAGTGTAGGAAATGCAAACAAAAATCAATAGACGAAACTAAGAGACTGTAACTTGAAGAAAGTCCTGCTAGAAAGGAGGGACGGGAGAAGTTAGAGAGGTCATGGTGAGTTGTTTTTGATATGTCTCATGCAGAAAATAGGAGGATACAAAGCTGCAAAAGGAAGCTGAGGTCATGGTGTAGAGAACTCCGAGTGACAGGGTAAAGCATCATATGTTAATAGGTGCTGGAAATCTACTTATAATATTAGAGTACAAGAGTGACAGAGTTGTGCTTTGGGATGATTTATCTAGTCAGCTGAATAAGTGGGAAGGGATAATTAACAAGAAGCTGAATGAGATGGGTATTAAAGTGATGAAGATGAGCCATGATCAGGATGTGGAAATGGTAAAGCAATGGATGATTGTGACAGTGATAAGGCAACGTAGAGGGTACAATCTTTAAGAATTAGCTTCTAATTCTAAAAAGGGGCTAATATTACAGAAAGAGACAGGGATAATTAGATGCTTTTGTCCTTAACAGAAATTAACGGAAACTTCCAAAAGTGAAGTTATCTGGAGCGTGCTAAATTCATTAGGTCAAAAGGTGCCCAGTTATGTATCACACGAGCAGTGGCAAATGTGTGTCTGAGAGCTGGGATTAACAAAATAAATCACTTGGAAATCATCAGTACAGAGTTTGTACCGGAATTCATGGATATAGCGGACATTGAAAACATAGAAGAGGCCTACAGTCAAAGCAGCCAGGATAACCCCCTGGGGGAGGGTTCAGAGAACAAAGAAGCATTCAGAGAAACTGGCAGAAGACCTAGCAGAGTCACTAAACTGGTGCCATAGATGAAGAGGATTTCCAAAAGGTAACAAGAGCAAGAGTGTCAAACTTTAGAGAAAGAAAGAAGAGAAGGCTTTGCAGTTACTGCAACGCTGGAAAACACTGGATGACACTCTGCTTGTGAGGGGAACAGTGTCAGTAGAGAATACAGATAGGAAACAAGGCCACAGGGGTTATGGCCTGAGTGAGTGGTTAGAAAACAGAAGCAAGATCTTCTCCAATTATTTCATATGTACAGCACGACTCGGACATCCAAAAACTTCTTTGAAGGTAAACAATTGGTAATTATATCAGGAAATCAGCAAAAATACGTATGTTTATAACAATATTAATAAGCTTTTACCTTCTTGTGATTCTTGTAAACATTTCTGTGGGCAAATCCCTTTCCACAAAGCTTGCATTTGTAAGGTTTATCTTCACTGTGTATTACTTTGTGAGCACCCACTTGATCGAGCCTCTTGAAAGATTTATTACAAATCTCACAATTATAGGGTCGTTTTTCTGTGAAAAATGAGTGGAGACAATCTCATATCTATATAAAGGTAAAGGATAAAAAGGAAAACAGCCTTACCTTGTATTACTTCTTATGGATAAGTCAACTAAAACACGATCCAAACAACTGAAACAATCTATTACCCAATCCATCTGTTAGATATGCGAGCCTATTCACAAAAGAAACATCAGTTTGTTCTTTTATTGACCTATTTGCAACCTAAATGTATAAAGTAGCTTAGATATAAAGATGAAGTTTCAATTCAAGGAAGAAATCCTACTTCCAGATGAAAAAATCTGCTGATCAGTATGAGTTCAAGTCAGGGTCACAACTCCAAATGCAAAGGGTGAGTGGCCTGACAGTGATGAAGGTAAAGGACAGACCTGCCTCCTGCTGGGCCAACAGAACCCACACAGGCCGAGCTTCCAATTCTCAGCAGAAACTACACACTTAGGTGGTTGGGTAAAATCCACATTTATACGATATTCATGTAATGTTGACAACTTTTTCAAACAAAGCATATCTGAAGGCCACCAGATCTATTTTCGATCCACCATTTTTGATCTTCCATTTTCATTCGCCAAAATATCTGTATCTGTCTCCAAATAAAGTAGCTATTCAAAAACGTTCTGACTTAAATGGTCTCAAAGTACAGACATTCTAAACGCTAGAAAAGAGACTTCATAAAGCAAAAGTTATTTTCAGAGCTGAATTTTTCTAAGTCTGTGTAACAGACCTATTACCCAAACTTGCTTAAAATGAAACTATGGCTTTAAAAACTTATATTCTCAAAATGTATTTATAAATTTCTCAGTAACATTTATTAGTTCCTTAGTTAGAATGTGAAAATATCTAGAAATGTCGGAACTATAATTGTTGAATCGCTCCTAAATATCAGACACTCTGCTAGTGTGGTACATAGATGAATTCGTTTAACCTTAACAGCAATTTTGAAAGGTAGGATATCTTTTCACAGATGAAGAATATAGAAACAGAGGCTCAAGGAGGAGTAGGTAACAAATTAAATGGTGAGTTCGAAGATCTTCGATTTCATTTAGTCCAACAACATATGCTTCAGAAACAAACTGAGGTCTAGAGAAGCTAAGTAACTTGTTCAAAATCACATGGTCGGTCAATGGCCAAGCTGGAACTAATAACCAGGTCTCCTGATTACCACTCTCAGAGCTCCTGAAAATGACGAGGTGAATCTTTTGTAGAGATTTCAATACAAATGGAAAAATATGTATTTTACCTGAGTGGGTGATCATATGACGTTTTAGCTGATTAGCTGAAATGAATTTCTTCATACATTCTTGACAATCAAATACCTCATGAATCTGCAAAAGGTTAAATTGACAGTTAAGTCAACTATCAAAGCCAAAAACTGTATAGAGCTCAAGTAAAAGTATAAACATGTGGACAGTCGCTACTGCAATATCCAAACTATATATTATAATTCAGCCCTAATTTGTTCACAGTATCCTACATAAATTGAAAATGCAATGAACATGTTACCTAGTAGAAACATATCATTAAAAAAATGTAAGACTGCACATTATTTAAATATGTAAAACAGCTGACCTATTTTTAAAGTGCATAATAAATTTATACTCTCTGTAAAAAATTATACCTAGTATATATTAAGTCTCTGTTATGTGCAAATTTAGAATTGGAAATACGTAACTTGCCAGTAAAAATATTCCCTGTTGACTACTGTAATAAATATATTACAGTAGTCAACACTCCTTTGAACTTAAATATATGTAGTACAGAACAACACATTAATTAATGTTAAAGACAAGGAGATACATGATTCTGAAAAGCATTTAGCTCACCAAAAAAGTCTCACAGGATAGGAGGACCACAATAAAAAACTTTATTAGTTTTATTTTTAAAAAATTATAATAAGGGGGACAAGCATAACTTTAGCAAACAACTGGCTAAATAAATATTAGTTTAATATTAAATTTAGTTCTTTCCCTCCCAGAGACTTAATCAGAGAAATTGAATAGGCGGTATGAAAAGCAGAAGCTTAGTTTATTACCAGTAACAATGTACAAAGTTCTAAGAGGAATGTGTTGCAAGAAGCCTTATATTAGAAATGTTGATCACCCCAATGAATAAGAGCATCATACTGTTTTGCTGAAGATTCAAAAATGGTTTTGGTGAGGTCCTGTTTTTGTTTCAACCTCATTAAAGGTAGTGCTCACAAAACGAAACCCCAGACAAGCAAAGGTCCTTCTGCAGGAAGCCAAGATACTGTGGTGATCCTTGCAGGATATCTAGGGCCACTACAGAGTGAAAGCCAAGGCAGAAGACCCTGAACTGGTACAGCAATGAGTAAAGAGTGGAGGACAGGTAAACGGCTCCCCTGGTCTAAGTGACCACAGAGGAACTCAAGGCAGGAATGGTGAAAAGACGGCACCAGGAAGGGAAACGGAAGCTGGGGCAAGGCTCACAGATCCCTGGTCTGCAGTCTGTGCCTTAACCCCATGTCCAGCCACATGACAGGTCTGAGGAAGGCAAGTACCACAGAGTACAGCAGGAAAACTTTCAGCCTAAGGCAACATCTTCAATCATCAAAGACCCTCACAGCAATTATATGAGGTGCGATGTTTGTTTAAAGATAATAAGAACAGATTTATATTCTTAAACTCTGTTTCTGTAACATATATCTTTTATAATAAGCTACTCTAATAAATGATGATGTGCCTTCTGAGACACACATAAATGAAAACATTTATTTTCATTTTTAATGTTATATTTTAATTAGTATATACACATTTTAAATTATTTACCCATATTTACCAAATTATTTACCCATATAAAAGTGTTAAATAAATTACTGCAAAATATACTCATATTTGTTCACTTAACTCTCATGGCTTCTGAAACATGAAACATACTTATTTATTTATTTATTTATTTATTTTTTCGGTACGCGGGCCTCTCACTGTGGGGGCCCCTCCCGCTGCAGAGCACAGGCTCCGTACGTGCAGGCTCAGCGGCCATGGCTCACGGGCCCAGCCAGTCCGCGGCATGTGGGATCTTCCCGGACCGGGGCACGAACCTGTGTCCCCTGCATCGGCAGGTGGACTCAACCACTGCGCCACCAGGGAAGCCCCATGAAACATTTTTAAAGGTTGAATTGGGGGCTTCCCTGGTGGTGCAGTGGTTGGGAATCTGCCTGCTAGTGCAGGGGACACGGGTTCGAGCCCTGGTCTGGGAGGATCCCACATGCCGCGGAGCAACTGGGCCCGTGAGCCACAACTACTGAGCCTGCGCGTCTGGAGCCTGTGCTCCACAGCAAGAGAGGCCGTGACGGTGAGAGGCCCGCGCACCGCGATGAAGAGTGGCCTCCGCTTGCCACAGCTAGAGAAAGCCCTCGCACAGAAACGAAGACCCAACACAGCCAAAAATAAAAATTAATTAATTAAAAAAATATATATATATTAAGAAAAAAAAGGTTGAATTGAATTGATATTATCAAAATTATAAAATAGAATATTTACTGTACATGAAAGCATTTTTGTATTGACTATCTTATAGTGGAAAATTCAATCCAAAGCTATTCTCAAAACTCCTAAAAAAGTTTTAATAGAACAATCAGATTTAAAGTGAAAATACACTAATTAATGCCTAATGCTAAGTAAAGCACCTTTTGTAAAATGTCCAACTTATTAAATTGACATGGATGGTTACAACTTATCATTTGAAGTCCCAAATTAAATAATTTTCAGGAAGGATCATAATATATCTTATTGTAATATAGGGCAGTACACAGTAATGTAAGACACTGTTCTAGACTACAATATAAATTTGACCTATTCGTACAGCACCACCTACTGGCAAGGTGAAATACTACAACCAAACTCTATTAGACATTAGACATACCCAACTATAAGAATAGTCAAAAATGGAGTCAGTAAAAGCTGCCTGTGGATTCAGAAAGGCTAAGTCAGAGGAGTTATGCTGTAATGAAGAGCTGCACTGAGCTACTAAGTTATTAACATTTGCAGAAACAGAATGGCTGTATTCTACCACCACCAGGTAGGATTTAAATCTACCAAGATATTCCCTGGGGGAAAAGTTCTTATGTTACGAAGAAAATAAATGGAAAAGAGAACACTTTTCAGAAATATGCCCCACTACCAACTTTGTTGAAATAGTCTATTTGGGAAAATCTGAAATTTGGTAGGATATCTTAAATTTCAACTTCTTAAGATCAGGGAAGGAAATCAAAGAATTATAAAAGTATGAGGATTTTTTTTTAATGTTTATTCAACTGGATTTAATCTTTTTGTCTCAGATTAGGTTCTGCTTCAGAAACCTTAAGGGTGATGAGAAGGGAGGAAGAGAGATGTAAAAGCAGCAGCATCTGGACTGGAGTTCTGTGTAAAACCTCCCTTAAAAGGTAGCCTCAGTGCTTGCTTCAGCAGCACTTGCACTAAATTTGGGATGATACAGAGAAGATTAGCATGGGCCCTGAACAGGAATTATATGCAAATTCTTGAAGTACTCCATATTTTTAAACAATCTGATAAAATAACCACATGGAAACTGAAAAGAAAAAAAAAGTAGTTTCATGGCACTTAAGAGAAGTAATTAAAAGACCCTGATCAGTTCAAAAGTCACACTTCATAAACGAGAGAACACAGGCCCAGTGTTACGTGGGGGGTTAGGGACAGAAGAAGATGACATCCACTGTCTTCACTCCTGTCCAGTGCTGTTGCGTTATTTCCCCCTAAGGATCATAATCACTCAACATGTAAGATATATGTTACATAATCACTCAGACATCTTAACAATTCAACTGTCTTATATGTTACAGGTTAAATCCACAGCACATGCTTGGAGCTACAGCATTGAATATCATATGAGTTTTAAGGCCTGTCAAGTTATTTTGGAATACAGACACACACAAAGAGACAAAATTCAACTTACAAACCATAACAAAAGTAAAATTTTACTTTCACTAGTATCATCGCCTCTCTTCTTTAGTATTAAATGACTAAAAGACAGTATTATGTGCTCCTAGATATTCTGAAAAAATAATATATGAACTCAGGAAATAATCATTTATATCTTTGTTATTATAATATAACATAAAATATATTTTTGGACTCTGCCATGATATGAACAAAATCTTAATTTAATTCTATTCTGTCGTAAATTCTATTAACTAGTGCTAATGTTGTTAGGGTTAATAACTGTCATTCACTTTTCAGGATAACTTTCACATTAAAATAGCAACTTAGTAAGTTTAATGCTTATTGCAAAATGTATTAAATTTATTTTCTCCTAACACAGTTGGCCTTTGAGCAACACGGGGGTTTGGGGGTTGGACCCACTGCACCCCACTCCCACCCCACAACCTCTCCCTGCAGTGGAAAAATCGTGTAACTTGACAGCGGGCCCTCCGCATCTGCATAGTCAACCAACCCCTGATCGTGTGGTACTGGAGTATGTATTTACTGGAAAAATCTGCTAAAAGTGGACCAGCACAGTTCAAACCTCTGTTGTTCAAGGGTCAACGGCATAATCGTTTCTGCTAACAACACTCTGACATTCTTCTACGTTATTTTTAGCTCTTCAAAATAACAGAGCTCTTTGTCTTCGTTTTGCCACACTTAACTATAATATGCATCCACTTTAAGCTAAATGTCACTGCAGAGCGTATCATAAATACACAAAAATATACGGTTTCCTCAAATATATAGTATTTCCTGAGCAAACAGCAACTGGGAAAGCTTGAAACCAGTATGAGGTGTCAGTCAGACACAATACTGTGGCGGAGAAATATTTCTACTAATTCTGAACAACAATAAACAACTCAAAATATTCTTTTGTGAGAGTTCACTCTTCTGCATATCAGTCTTGCATTTTAGAAGATGTTAGTAGTTAAATTAATGACAAAACTCTGTCTTTACAATATAAAAATCAGCTAAAATTTTTCATGGCCGACACTATAAATGACTAAAAGATCTTACACTATGATGAGCATTAGTCTTTATCTTACTGACCTTCCTATGTTCCTGCAGGCTTGATGCTGAAGAACACTTTTTATTGCACACTGAACATATGAGTTTTTTCTTAGGATCCCCTAAACAAAAACAACAAACAAAATAAAATAAAATACCACCATGATTTATTTGAGAATATTAAGAGGAGTATTAGATACAGTGTTTCTAGGTGATTTATAATTTCTAAACAGGTATTTCATCTTCTTAACTTACAACTCCAAAATTTTCAATGTTGTAGATATATCCATTAAACTCAGATAAAGAAGAGGCTACATTTTAAACGTTTTCAAAATCTGAGAAATATTCAGCTTGGTATACCACTTTCTACATATATAAAATGGGCCTTTCACCTTTCCACGTTCTAATTTAGTATTAAAAGAGAAAAGCACACTTCCATGAAAAATTAAAATTAATCAAATGTGTACATAAAAGAAAACCTGTATTTATTAACTCATAAGTTGATTTTGCTACTTGCTTTAAATTTTAAGAGAATATTTGATTTAATCAGCTGGATTTTTAAAAATGGAATTCAGAGATTATTCTTTTCGGCACTAGACTTGATCAGCCTGCAAGATCTGAGAGTATATGATTTATCATATTAATGCTAAAAACCAGAATAAGATAAAATCAAGAACAATAAAACATTATATTGGCATTCATATTATTTTACAAATCAAAACAAAGCTCAGTCTTATCTTCTTATAGAGTGATTATAATTATAGTAGACCATTTCAAATTTCAAATTTCACAGTGGTTATAAAAAACAAAAGACTCAACAAAACAAGATTTTCAAATATGATATAATAACAATATCATCTGCACTACCATAAGTAACCACAGAATGGTTTTTCAATTTTTAATTGATTGACTACAAATACTCAAAAAGTAAACAAATAATAAAATGCACCACCATGTATCCACTGCCTGGCCCCCAAAATGACTAATCCATGGCTATTCCTGCCAAAACCTCAACCTCATCCACTACCTTACTTCTCTATTTTCTTGAAAGAAATCTAAAGTCAGTAGAAAACACGATTACAAAATGACTTTATTAAAAGACTGTGTTTACGAGACAGCAACACTTTCAGAAAAAGGAAAATATTCATTTTTGTCTTATCATTCAAGATACGGATTTCATATAATGCACTATTTTTAGCAAGCCAAACAGTATAGTCAAGAAAAATTTTCTTGGTGATTGACAATATGGCTATTAAAGGAGAAAATTCTCCCAAGCAAAATGAATTATCTGACAGCGTGCATTTGGTCATAAATTCTCTATCCATATCTATTATACATGAGGGGCCTCTAAGAAAGAATATTCCCTCTTTTCCAGCTTGCACCAGCTGGTATGTCCCTCCTTTAATCCACAATCCTTTATTTCCCTAGCTTATCCCTCAAATCAGCTGCTCTCTGAGACTAGACCTTATTCTTTCCCAGAAGGTAGGTCAGGCTTGAGGGAGAGAAGAGAAAGAGAAGTGACATTGCCACAACCACCTGTTTCACCTTATCCCAATACTCCTGCCATGGCTCCCTCCAGCTAGAATCACAGGCAATACACCAAACCCCCATTCCTACTCTTCAATCTCTTCTCTCCTCCTATAGCTTCTATTCTTCATCCTAGGACTGGAATCCTAGTTCCTCAGAGAAGAAACATGGGAAAAGTTTATGACTGTTTGCCTGAGAATGTAGATAAATATTATTTCCCATAAATACAAAATCTCTATGTCAGCATCCGCAGAATCGAAATCAAAAGAGAAAGATGGTTAAGGTGAATTAAGGAAGTTAGACCCCTCACTGTTTCCTCTTGAGTAACTGGGAAGGTCACCCTACAAGCTTCCCCAGGTTCAAGGACAATAGCATCTACAAAGCCACAGCTAGACTTTATACCATTTTAGTTTTACTATATTTGGGTTAAGTCTGACATTTGACTTTCTGATTCAGCTTTCAAAAACAGTCAGGAACACATTACTTACAAAGGTAGGAGATGCACTGAAAATTAATACAACTGTACTGAATACGTAGTCACTTAAGTACTGTGAGTTTCAGCACTATGTGGGTTAAGTGTGCTTCTAGGAGCTAGTCTGAGAACCTACCCACCATATGTTACAGTTTCTACGGAAAAATGTGATCCATATTTTAAAATTCAGCTTCTCTCTTCTCAGCATCTTCAATTCATATCATCTAACGAGGAACATTTGTCATGGTCGGTGGTAAAAGCTGCAAGATCTTCTCTTTCCTTGAATACCTTTGTCTTTCTACAGTAAAGCGTTCTACGACCATGTGTATGAACACTGCTTTTTTCGCTATTCGTAATATGGAATATACTTTCCCCAAATGTCTGTGTAGCTAACAGATGCAAGGGAAGAAGCAAGAGAGGGGCTATGAACGACCGATTGAGCACCAATTCCAGCAAAAAGTATGCATGGTGGCCTCTGGCTGAAATACAGTAAGTTTCATATGTTATGTGATCCACAACACAGAAAAATAAAAAACTTCCTTTTATGTTATTTCCTACAAAATCACCATAAGTTTTCAGAATCAGTAATATTTTAATATCCAAGACCAAGTACAAGAAGCCTCAAAGAAATTATGCTTCTAGCACAGTCTGAAGACCACATGCCCAATAACAAGAATGCAAGTTTCCAGAGTTTCAGTGTGCATCTGTTTTTTTACTTAGTTCAGCAAAGTTAACTTTAAAAATGACATGAAAGATTTGTTATAATACATTGCAGACAAAGATGAAGAAAATTAAGAACAGCATTTTAAACATAACAGATTTAAAAAAACAAAAACTAGGAAGAGACAGGTCTATCAAAAAGTTATGATTGCCTTTTGCAAAGATAGGAAAGGCCCAAGTATAAAGAATTCAGAAAAATGTCATCTTCTCTATATCCTTCAAAAGGAAAGAAAGAAATCAGAACACTGTGAAGTCCAAGCGATGTGCACCATTCTGAAGCCACATTTCACAAGCCCATACCTTCTGCCACCCTGAGCTTTCAAATATGGCTTGTACTGAGTGTGCAGCCCAAACTGGTGGTGCGAAGTTGTAACTAGCATTAAAAGAGACACTTTTTGGACAATGAACAAATATAGGAAACAGAAACTGAGTACCGGTTATTCTTTTCTCCTGAATGTGAGAATAAACAGGATAGGAGAAAAGAAATAACACTTTCCTCATATGCAGAAAGACATTTCCACCCAGAAGCCAATGGCAAAAGTAAACACATGAGAAAAATGCAAGTAGAGAAGGGTAAGAGGAGTACCATGAACCTCAGCCTCCTTTAAAGAAAAGACACTGAAGAAATAAATTAACTCTGACAATAATCATCTGTTCGATTTAGTGCAACAGATTCAATCCCTAAAGTCAAAATACATTTACCATGTGCTAAGCAGATGAAATCTAAGTGACAAATTTTCTATTTGTCTTATTGTTTAGCTAGTCATTAGAAGGAATTCAAATAGTATCTACTTTATAAATCTAAATATATTCAATTAGCATGTCAAAATGTAGCCAGTAATTTTCTCCAATATAGAAGAAATATAAGGATTTTTAAAAATGGAATTTTACTGTAAAAATATTAAGGCAGAAGGGCATCACTTAACAGTTTTAAAATATATCTACTAAAAGAGAAATTTCACATGCTAAAGTATTAAAATTATTATTTAAAACATTAATTCTTAATGTACCTGGCTACCAAGCACAACTAGATTCTAGCTTAGGTTTCCAGTTATGATTAATTCAGAGATAGGAAAAATGACGAAAATTGCTGAAATCAAAAAGAAACAGTGCTCAGTGGAAGAAAAAAAATTCCATTTCCAGAGCTCTACATCTGTGTGAAATACAATGGAAAAGCAAGCTCTCTCCTCAAGAGTGAGAATTAAAAACAGATCGCTGTGTCCTGGGGAGAGGAAGCCCCTTTAAAAACAACCCTCTGATGAGTTCTCACCGGTGTGGATGTTTTCCTGGTGTCTTCTCAGGGCATCCTTGCTCTTCAGTCTCTTTCCACAGCTGTCAGCCTTACACACAAACCTGGCATCTCCCCGGCAAGTCTCCTGGTGCTGCTCAAAACTACAAGACAACCAGGAATGGGAAACAGGGAGAAGAAATGGTGAAGACACCTACAAACTTCTAACATCCAGGCTGGCTTTTGTAATGCATGTTCCCCGTAGAGTTTCAGGGTCATTACAAGTGTTACCTAGGCAGGTAGGAAGGAAAGCACTGAAATTCTGTAGCCATATGATACTAAATCACTAAGAAGCATGAAAGCATGCATGCCAATGATGACCCGCAATTATATAACAGCCATCTGATAACTCGGATACAAAACCTTGATGCTGAACTGAAGGAAGAATTGCAAACAGAGCACTGAAAACTTCGTGAAGAATCCTTCAGACTGCTTTTTGCTGAGCACTGAAGAACACTGAGGGGAAATAGACAAAAAACAAAAACTGGAAGTCTAAGACAAAAACTTATGAAAATATCTCTACTTTAAATGAAGTCACAACCATGATCTCTCCTTTCATTCTGCCTTTTGCCCTTTAAACTTTTAAGCAGCACCTACAGTTGAACTATAAGACATAGCTCAGCAAAAGTATGTTTGGTGTAGAATATATAATATTAAATTGAATAAAAGCTGACTAGAATGCAGTTTTAAAATCTATTCATTAAAAACTATATAGCCCTTGCTTAGTTTTTTAAAGAGTGTATAAGAGAATTTCCAAGTTTTAAGTTTAAGTTTTGAACAGAAATTTTTCATCTCAAATTTCATAAGCAAAAGTGGATGCATATATGAAAACTGTCTTAATATGAAATACAGCATGTTTCAGAATTTTACTTTAATGAATTAAAAAATGAAACATTAAGCCTATGTTAAAGATTTCTTGCTCATATGCAAGGTGACATTCCATTAAAATAAGTTTGTAAATATATGTATCCACTTTCTCATTTTTAATAATTCATGATACTGTACAATACTTAAGTAAAAGGATAACTTAATATGCTGTTAATATATTTAAAATAACAAAGGGTGCACAGCAATGATTGGGACCATTTAATTCATTTCATCATCATATCTTGTACATATTCATCTTTAAATTATTTCTCCAACATCGCTAGGAAATAAACAGTGCTTCCCAAAATGGCCCTGTATTCTTCATACTCTGAACTCTCTCCATTTCTTAAACTATTTCTTTTCTTTTCTTTTTTTTTTTTTTTACAGATTTCAGAGGGAATATCGAATGCAGACCGCTGAAACTTGATCTGCCACCTCAAAGCACTAGCTAAATTATGCATATCAGATTTCAAATTAGTACACCAATGAGCTTAATATTTAACGGCAAGTTATTAAATGGACAAAGATTGATTAGCATAAACAATGTTTACTTGTTAAACTTCATAATCAGAGTGTTTCAAAAACCAATGTACTATATAGTAAGAAAAGTGTATGACAGTGACAATAGAGAATGCTTAATTTCTACACACACCACACACACGCACACAGGTTAGAAACTATAAGTCAAACGGAATGAAAACAGTTAAACAACGTGTCAGCTTATAATTTTAGATATACTCTTGAATGTACGCACTGTCTTTGCAAAGCCTGTTTAACTGGGAATTTCTTCCCACAGCTCTTGCACTTAAATTCTTTCTCCTCTGTGGGTTTCTGGTGCAATGTCTGAAGATGCTCAGCAAGAATTTCCTCACTGGTAAAACTCGATTCACACTGGGGACAGGCATAGTCCTCTTTACAGCCAAAGCGATCTGTGAAGAGCCAAGAACTGCTCAGTTTTGCTCTCATTTTAAAATCAAAATTAATTATGCTTAATGGTACCAGATTAGGAAATTTTTATTATCTCTATGAGTGTGAACAGGTTGCCCATGAAAAATAATAGGAAGTGTTACTAGAACAGTACATTATTTTTTAAATCATTTAACTTGTGTTTCACCAAATTAATACAAATCAAAATCAATTTTTAATTTACCCTGTAACATTAACTTTTCACATCAAAGAGTTATAACAAATGTTGAATTGCAACGCCAAAGTCTTCCCTGAAACGGGTCATCCTGAGTTCACTTTTAGCTGCAAGAAGAGAAAAACCCAACCAAGGGGAACTATGTTGAATTACCAAGGGGAATCTCACATATATATGAAAAAAGACCAAGGTCATAAAAACAGCACTCATTACAGTAGGTGGAGTGAGGCTCCACTGTCTCTCTGGCTGTCAGTCCTATATGCACTGTCATGGCTCTACCCAAATTTTTCAAAGTGTGCTTCTTAAATTACATATTTTTTCTGATTATCAAATAAGATTAATTCTTTTTAAGATTTTTTTTTTGACGTGGACCATTTTTAAAGTCTTTATTGAATTTGTTACCATATTGCTTCTGTTTCACGTTTTAGTTTTTTGGCCGCGAAGCAGATGGGATCTTAGCTCCCCAACCAGGGATCGAACCCACACCCCCTGCACTGGAAGGAGAAGTCTTAACCACCGGACCACCAGGGAAGTCCCAAGGTTAGATTTAGATAAAATGCAGAAAATATGAAGAGAATAAAAATCATCAATAACCCCACCATGAAGAGACAACTGCTGTAATCTATTTCCATGGCTGAGTTGTATTTCATGCGCAGTCTAAGAACCTTTATGATCATACTTTTTATGAAATTTCATGTATTGCTCTTTTTTCCATTTAATATTTTCTCAAGTCAAATTTTTTTTAAACTTAAGGTACCATAATTTACTTATTTAACCAAACTCTCCATTGTTTGACATTTGAGTGGATTCTTTGTTTCTTTTGATCACTGTTTGGTTGGTTTTGCTTCTGTTTTGGGGGATTTTTGTTTGTTTGTTTTTTGGGTTTTATATTTTGCTTTTATAAACAAAACTGACTTCTAAAATAAAAATGTCAACAATATAAGCACGTGATTCATATGTTCTAAGAATCTGTGTAAGTTTCTGTTGATTCTTCTTACAAAAGTAATAGAAATTGATATTTTGTTAACTAAATAAAGAAAAATCAGGGTGGTAATAAGTAGGAGACTTATTTTTAAGGTAAAATAGTGGACACAGTAATACTGTACCCTGGGGGCAACGCTGAAATAAATACAAAAATAAAGAAAACATAGTACAGTACAGAAATAATTCCCATCACCCCAAATCTGACATTCCAAACAGCATAATGCATATTTGGAAAGACAAAACAGATAGCCTGTCCTCATCTGCCTTTTAAATACTCCAACTAAAATAAAGAAGCAGAAGCATAATCTGGCAATACTGGGAATACTCATACTTTTTCAGCCAATGACATACAGTTAGAATAGAAAATTCATATAAAAGACATTAATACCACAGTGACTAAAGAAACCACTGTCACTTCTGAAGTGGCTTTGTTAAGCAAAATGGAAAAATTCTCTATAGTAATTAAGCGTCAACCTTTTACAAAATGTGAACACCCTTAACACCATTCAAATTTCCCTCAAACCCCATCAGGAGTAAAACACAACATAACAGAAACAAGCCCTAATAACAATTGATTATTCCCTGGCAGATGACAAACAAGTGACATCTATCTCCTAGATTGCAGGGCTGATTTAAGCAAGTCTACCTATGGTCATCATACATTTTTGGTTACCCTACTAGAACAACCCAGCAGTGCTGTAGGCCTCTATGATCAGAACAAAGAAAGATTTCCAGATGCTCCAGATTCTCAAAGGATGTTAAGAGTGAGGCCCAGGAATAATCCCACAGGGCCCAGCAGGACCTCTGCACTCACCTTTCCCCATGTGCAGATGAGAAAGTAAAGTCTCAGGGTTAGTGACTTGCCTGCTTATAACATGGATGAAAGGCAGACTCGGGGCTGGAGTACAAAAATCCTCATTACTAGCTACCCACCAATGAGAGCAGTGAAAGCTGGGAGTTGCCACTGACCTTGGCAGTCCTACAGGGCACATCCATCACCCACCCCAACCCATCATTCCCTTCCTGCTGGAAGAGAGGCACATAACTGAATATGCTCCGAGTGTTCTGACAAAAACTAACTTTATTTTGAGAACACTCTATTATACTGCAATTATAATCAAGCACAGTTCAAACTTTATTTCTCCTACAATTTTCATTCTCTCGGACCATCAATTAGAGGTAATACCTTTTCTGCCAGCTGCTGATTGTCCTGTAGAATTTTTACCTTCCTCTTCTTTGATCATCGTCATAATTTGCTGTTCTTCTTCATCGGCCTCCATGTCACTATCCAGGTAGCCAATCAGAAGCTCTGTATCTGTTTCTATATCTTCAATTGCCAGATAGAAAATGTTTTCTCCTTCCTGAGACAAAATCAAAAAGATGTGCTGTTATATGACCAAGATATCTCAATAATAAAAAAAGCTAAAATCATTCATTTCTGATAGTAACTAAGAAATCATTTTTAAGATACACTGAGTATCAGGTGCTCATGAAAAGTTACTACTCCATTTTGTACATCTCCACTTGACCTGAACACTGAAAAAGGAAACTGACAATATTTAGGCACCTGGCAAATAAAGTACAAATATATATTAAAGATAGTGACATTTATACCTATCAAATAAAATAAGGATAATGATTTAAATTTCTAAAAGTTAAATTTTGCATCATTAATTGGCTTTATGCAGTAACACCTTGTGGAGGTCCATAAATGCAGTAGAAAATAAATTTGTTAAGCAATGGTGTCATTTCTGAACCCAAACAGACAGCAATGAGATATCAATGATTTAATTATGATTAACATAAAATACAAAACTGAAAGAAGAAGAAAACTTTCAAGTTATAACACAAACCAGAGGAACTGCAAATGAACCCTGAAAGAATTTCCAAAAAGCTGGACCGGGAAGAGAAAAAGGACTAGGTACCTGGGAGGTTCAAAACATTGACTGGGTCATCACACGTCCCTAAATCCCACTAAAATGACAGAAGAAAGAAGAAAGCAAGTTCCACCCTTAACATACCACCATTTTTTAGAAAATTCTAGAAGAAGAAATTAGCCAGGGTTGCTAACGCAGAAGAAATCTCAACCCATAACAGACTGAGAAGAGGAATGCAGCAAAGAATAACCCAAGGAAACCCGAGAGAAACTTCATACTTGGAACCAACGATACAAAAAGCCCCTCTGGGGCTTCCCTGGTGGCGCAGTGGTTGAGAGTCCGCCAGCCGATGCAGGGGACACGGGTTCGTGCCCCGGTCCGGGAAGATCCCACCAGCCGCGGAGCGGCTGGGCCCGTGAGTCATGGCCGCTGAGCCTGCGCGTCCGGAGCCTGTGCTCCGCAACGGGAGAGGCCACAACAGTGTAGAGCCCCGCGTACCACAAAAAAAAAAGCACCCCTCTGGGCCTGGGGCCAATTACCAGGGAAGCCAGAATTGGGGCTGCTTAGCCGGCAGTCCCCAGGAGAAACACCCTGAATTGATGTCTTTTACACAGTTGAGGATTTGTTGTGGGAGGGCTCCTAGCTTGGCTGCTGAGGATAAAGAGAAGCAAAGCATAACCTGAATTGTGGTGGGCAAGTGAGGGAAAGAAGGGGGACAATAAGCTCCACCCAGGAGTGAAATCCAATAAAGCAAAGAACACAGAACAAAGCCTCCTCTCCTCTGGCAATATCATAGCACCTAGGTGAGGGAGGGAGAGACAGAGGAGGAGGAGAAATCTGTAATGAATATATACATGTATATATATGTATGTATACACAAGCAGAACCCCATGAAAAACTGGAAAATATGCATCAAACTGTTATAAAGTTAACATTCTGAGGCTGGGAGAAGGAGGAGTCTATATTGAATACTGTTTTAGTTTCTTCTTACAACAAAGATTACTTTGCAATTTTAAAATGCAATTTTAAAAACAATAAATATTAGAAAATTCCATGGATGAGGCAGAAATTACGATCACATTTATCAAAAATACTGTGTAAGGGAGGACTGACTCCGAAGTTCAAAGCAATGAAGCACATTAACCATTAGCCGCAGGTCATTAAATGAAGTTCCTGTAATATTTTACAGCATTCTTGGAAGTTCATGAATTTCATACCTCCAGAAACACAGAAAGTTATTTCTAATTAAGAACCCAGTTAACTTCTATACAACTGTTACTTTTAATGCAACAAAAACAAACAAAAACTAACGTGGACACTCAGCAAAAGAAAGATTTCTTTTTCAATCAACTGAGAAGCGGCACTTTCCAGGTTTTGGAAACTACTTGCTAGAAGAGTCACCAAAGCAACAAAGGGCTCACCTAATGAAGATTTCAGAAAATAATCATAAATCTTAGTGGTTATCTGATCAATATCCAAGCAAGTTAACTGAAATGTCTTTCCAGCATATTAGTCATTCATTTTATAATGAATGACCTTCATAGCACCAAGAGAAGATAATAATTTTTAATTGTAAAACATGATAGCATTAACTTAAACGGCCATCATAAGACACGACATGCCTATTTAGGGGTTCTGTAATAAAAGAAAATTTTAACATACCAGTTAAAACTTCAATTGAACAAAAGTAATGGCTGCATTACAAGCTCCAAGGATCAAGTACATGTTCTATCTGTATACCAAACATGTGATAAGAGGAATGTCATGACAGGCATTGTTCCAAGCTATTTATTTAATGCAGATATCTAGATATCTCTCTACATATAATTCCTACCACTACCCAGGCCAAGAGCCTCTTCCTTTTCATTTGCCACCACAATAAAATTATTGAAAGAAGTATCCTGTTAAATTGCTTCCTTACTGATTTAATCACTCAGCAACCTTTCATTATATTATTCTCCTTCTTCCAAACCTCTGACTGTCAGAACCTACCAGATTTCTAATCCCTGGAGCTCTCTCAAACTCTCTGGGGTGATTTTCCCCACCTGTAGGTTCATCCCAGACCCAATCTCTGGCCCTTTGGCAAGAAGGATTTAAACAGTGTTGACCCAACACTACGGGACTGAGCATCAACTCCCAGTGGTCATTAGGCTGGCCAAGACCTCCGGCTTTGATAACTGTCTTAATATTCTGATCCTTAAATTTACTTCTCTTTATTTCAGCTATGGTTTCTGGTCATTGGGTTTGTGGCTTATTCCCCTGAACACAGTTCCTCCTAGCAGAGTCACTCCTTGCATTTACATTTTACGGATTAAGCGCCTTCCTGGGACTTTGCCTGGGGGCTGGGGTCCTGCTTACGGTTCCTGTCATGGGCTCTAGGTGACTTCGTTGAAAATTCAACTTTAATTGAAAGAAAGCTGTTCAACATCATGGTGTGTTCAGAAGCAAATATTCCTTAGTCACTGGTTTTCACTGTACTGGCGATCCAGATACAAGAGAGAGAGTGAGATTACAACTGTTATGCATCTCCTGCATTACTGTCCATCATTATGAATTTTTTGTGTTTTTCAGTCTTGTTTCATTTTGCTTTATTATTTGTTTATCGTCTTCAGCTAATTATGTCTACTATAAGCTGTTTGTATTATCAAAAAGTTACAACAGCCTAAACATCCAACGAAATAAGTTGAAAAAGAATAAATGTCTAACAATTGGCTTTAAAAGATTTATTAAATATCATTTGTATAGAAAAAAACATATATCAATGTGCCCCCCAAAGAAAAAGATATGAACAAAGGTGTCAACAGACTTTGTTTCTAAACAGAGGAAATTGTATTTTGCATAGTCTCCTGCTAGCCCATGTGTTTCAATTTTTCTAGAGTTAACAAGTATTACTTTTGTAGTAAAAGGAAAAAATAAATAATAAACAAACCAGTTTCCATGACACCAGGAATTGGTACTAAATAGTAACTAAGAGCTTTGAGATGGCCAGGGTTCAAGTCTCCTTCTATGATTAATTAGCTGTGGAACTGAGCAAACAGCTTCATCTCTCAAACCACCAGTTTCCTCATCTATAAAATGGAGAAAATAATGCTGCCTATCTCATAAGCTGTTTGTGAGGATTAAAGGTGCCTGGCACAAGTTAAGTATTCATTAATGATAAGTACTGCTATCATTATTAGTATTACTATTAAACAAAACTTGAAAGTCAGTATTAAAATATTTATTTTTCAAAATTTGTTTCAATTAGACTGTCACATAAGCTAAGTTGCTGTGACAATGCTAAATTTTATTTGGCTGAACTGCTGTCAGCCAAAATATAATTCAACTCCACTGCCTGCCTACCAGAGCTCTGAAATGCTCTGGATTTCTGATTGTCATGCTCTGTTCACTTGCTAATGTGCTAATGTTTTACTCTGGTTTGGACCTCAGGTACCAATTGCTTGTCTGATCTATACTATACCTTAAGTGACCAACCATCTACTTTCCCTGAGGGGTTTCCATGATATGCGGTTTTCAGTGCTGAAACTGAGAGAGTCCTGGGCAAGCCAGGACAGTGAGTCACTCCTTAAGATTTCCTGGGATTCCCTGGTGGCGCAGTGGTTGGGAATCTGCCTGCCAGTGCAGGGGACACGGGTTCGAGCCCTGGTCTGGGAGGATCCCACATGCCGCAGAGCAACTGAGCCCGTGAGCCACAACTACTGAAGCCTGTGGCGCCTAGAGTCTGTGCTCCGTGGCGGGGGAGGCCACCGCAATGAGAAGCCCACAACAAAGAGTGGTCCACGCTCACCACAACTAGAAAAAGCCTGTGTGCATCAACGAAGACCCAACGCAGCCAAAACAAACAAACAAATAAATAAAAATCAAACAAACAAACAAACAGATTTCCTGGGACTTCTCTGGCGTCCAGTGGTTAAAACTCCGTGCTTCCACTGCAGGGGTCACGGGTTCAATCCCTGGTTGGGGAACTAAGATCCCACAGGGCACGTGGTGCAGCCAAAAAAAAAAAAAAAAAAAGATTTCCTAACAATAATATTTGCTGCCGCCCCCCACAGTATCCAACAGCTCAGGATTCTCAATATGTGGTACCAGTCCTGTCCCAAATATGGCTCCAATGGCTTACCAACTGGTAATCTAAACCCACACTTCATCCTCTCATCCCCCAACTATCCTTCAAGTTAACCTGCCTTCTGTTCTTCAGTCCAACTGGTACACTTCCTCTCAGAAAACACTGAACTCATTCCTCCTCAGTACAACTGCAAAGATGCCACCTGGCCTCCCAGCTACGACTTCTCAGCAGCATCTGAGCCACAGCTCACGTTCACCCTCCATGAAACCTTTTCTAATCTACTAAATTCATGTAGGTTACAGGAGTTCTTCAACTGGACACTTACCTGTAATTTATTTCTGTGGTTTTCATCATTTAATTCATGTGATCAACGACATTCATGTGTTCCTCCTGTCTCCTCCAAACAAAGATGGTTTCC